ATGAGTCCTCTTAAATAATGAATTCTATTCCTAAGCAATAATACAACTAAATTATTAGTAGGCAATTCAGAAAACAAAGAAATGATTGATCAACGATTTGCGTAACTTGAGATTACAGCTTGATTATAAAATATACATATTTGAAACCTCGGTTTTAAAGTTTTCCCCCAAAGACCATATTGCACAATTTAGAAACCTACTATTATACTATATATTAGCACACGTATATTAAATTACAATCTCTTTGTTAATTTACCGCATTAGAGAGCTGTAAAATTTTATCTTTAATCCATGCATCTTTTGAAAAGTGTAAAAAATATGTAAGATTATCCTAATAACAGACAAATGATAAATTAAAAAAAAAAACTTCCAGGTTTACTTTCATTAAACAAAGATGCATACTCACGCATCTATTTTAAACTTAAAAACATCTTATTACCATTAAACAAATTTTTAACATAACATATGCAAAAAATAATGGTAGTAAACAATATTACAAGCAACCTCCAGGGTTAGTGCACGAGCTCGGCATGTAAATGGTCAAGAGATAGGATTTCAATAAATTATTTAATATTTTGAAATGTACACTGTGCCGACAAAAATTCCTCCCTTTGCCTTTATTTTATTTTCGCAACAGTTGGTACTAGACATAAGCTTCCAGTTGCAAAAATATTTTAAAATATGCTAGCATTCAGGTTTTGGCGTCTGTAAATTTTAGGGAAACATTTTGTAAAAATTACGATAAATAACTTTTTACATTTTCCTTCGTTCCGTCTACTTGTATGTAGGCAAAATTTGTACTCGCTATAAAAATTAAGACACAAAAAGAGTGATAAAAACTAACCTAGGTATTTGATATTAAAGTCGGAGATCATATTCAGGGGCTGTATATAAACCGAAGATCGAAATCTTTGGATTTGTTGGTAACTAAAAATAAAATATCAATTTAGGAAAAGTTTTATGATGATAAGGCGAGCATCTATATGTGGATGATTGTGAAAAGTAATGATTACATTAATTTTTAATGGGGAACTTATACACAGAATCTTACAAGTATAGTGTACTAAGAAACGCTTGCTGGTTTATATATTGGTATATAACCAATTTGTAATATTATTTGAATTAATTTAAAAAAGAAAATGTTTTTTAAAATTATTAACAGATTTATGATTCTGAAATTGTAAACTATATTTGAATATTACTAACGTATTTTTAGATTTAAATTATTTGTTTGAAAATTCTTTTGACATGCTAAAGGTAACAAAATTATAGACTAAAAATACTTAACAGGCCGATCACAAAGGCCTATCATTGAGTAGTATATAAAGAGGAAAAATCAATTTTGAATTATTCTAATTTATTTATCAACCCACTCTCCGATGAAATTGAAAATTGCGTCAAATGCTGCAAATTTTGTAATTAAGATATCTCAGTTCATTTTGGTCATATGGAAGATTTGTGTTTCACTTCTTGTAACTAGTACAAAGTACAGAGACGCAAGGAGCGTATAAAAATATCATAATTTTTATAAATCTGATTTTTTTAAATTTGAAAATCTCAAAATATAAATACTGATGTTATTTGAAACATTTTTATAAGTGGACGCATACAACTACGACTAATGACTGCGAAAATAGAGACCAGGTAAAGACTTTTGTGGATGTAGTGTACAACACTGTCTCATTTATATTTCACGTTTTTTTTTATTAAATTCTTAATCTGATGGTTAAGAAAAAAACGCAACTTCAATCGTTTCTTATCAGTCCCAAATAATTGCTTGATTTCAGCCTCAGTCATTGCTTGATTTACGCCACAAATGTAATTTCTAAATTCAATGGAGTAATAATCCATCGGTACTTATACTGTTAGTGTTTAACGTGATATTTCAACAGCATACCGTGTTGAAATTCAAATTAATTCATCATTGCTTATACCACTGTTGTTATTACCGAAAAACTGCAAAATGACTCTATTTTTTTTTCTTTGTATTTTATTTAACTCGTGTTATTGCTGAATACGCGAATCTCCACTTCGCCATTTTCCTTCTTAAATGAGTGGATTTTTATTAATACATTCTACGTTTATGCGTGCGCGGTAGAGAACCTCGTAAATCTCGCGAGACAGATTTTCGAAGAGAAAGTTTTCTTTTTAAAAGAGGCTATTTTCTTCCGATTTATCTTTCTTCTCGAAATTCTTCTTAACATAAAGCATCGTTAAAGTTTTTAGTAACCAGGCAAGAGCAGAGTTTGCATTAGAGAAAGATAAAAGAATTTTTTTTATTAATCGAGTTCAGGAATACACGTTGTTGTAAGGAGAATATATCTATTCGCGGAGAGATGGTTATGAGGATATGACAATAGTTATCCCGTTTTTCAGGATTATTATGTTTGATATTCTACAATATAATTCAGCATTAAGTCGCGATCAAATTTCTTTTTACGAAAATTGTGCTTGGCACACACACTTGGGTTTCAGGCAGTATCGAAAATAAATCGTTTTACATGTGCAATATTGTATACAGGTGATAGGTGACGGAGGACTGGGACGCCTGGCGTATAACATAGGTAAACAGGCATATGTCCCACGTCCTCCACTATCTCGAAGAAACAACTCGCTGGAGCCCCGTAAGGCTGCACCGGGAGTTTACATGGCCATACAGGGGCTAGATGTCAAGTAGGTTTTACATAGGACGTTGTTAATAACACAAAGTAATTTAAAAAGAATATAAAGGATAGCATTAAAACATTAAAACACGCATATAAGCTGAAACACATAGGTATAAATTAAACGTAAAAGCATAAAAACACACTCGTAATTACGTAACATAAAGACATAAAAACACACACGAGAATACATAACATGACACATAGAATACGTATGGAAACACGTAGAGTACATAAATGCAAATATTGCACACAGAAGAAACATGTGAGACATAGTAAGGTGTGCATAAAGCAGAAGCGCTGTGCGGAAATATGCTCAGTACCCATAATACATAATGTACATACTTTCATTAGGGGCTTCTGTTGCATGATTTACATATTTCGTTGTACACACTACATTCGTGCATTGTACGGATATTATATATTTCGATTTACGATAACACATCATTCCATTGGGTACCCAGTGCTTTACACAGATAAACATGTCAGTAACATTATTTCTGCACGTTACTGGCTATTGAAAGCAGATGATTACATGAGGCTCGATTGTATACACTAAAAATTTAAGTTTTAAAGCAGGAAGTGTATTTCTTAGAAAAGTGGAATTTTTCACTTAATGTAGTGTACTAGCAAGCTGCGGCCGAAGCAATGCATTTTTGTAACGATTTTGAATTTCACCATGAATTTAAATATTAATTTTAAAATATAAACGTGTCTGGCATCAAATTGGAATAAGGTTTATTTATCGTCTGCAGCATTAAAAATATTCGTTTCTTTAAAATGTCGCTGAAAAATAAACAATAGCTTGAAAGCTATATTTTTGCGCTGTCCGAAGAGAAATAGCCTTATTCAATTATTAAAAAAAGGTGTGAAAAACATGGTTTTAATATTTCTATACCTGAAATACGTGACACAGCTAATATGAAAGGAAAAAAACCTGAAAGTTTACATCTAATTGCGAAAAGGGCAAAAAATGCATCCCCAACAAAGGTATCTACAGCTCTTATTAAATCGCATCTCATGTTTATTAAGTAGCATCTCATTTTTTAAAGGAAAATTCAGCCCATCAAAGAGCTATTGGAAAATCTTTAAAAATCTATCTCTGTAGGATCTGTGGACAAAATTATAAAATCTGATTTAAAGCTTATAAAAAAACACGTAATGCCCATCACCTAACGCCGAAAGATGTTTCTTAACACAAGCCTTGTATAAACTTATCTGATTGCAAAAGAAAAAGATCGATTTATTAACGAAAAAGAGGAGAAAAAGACTTAATATTTTGGTTCCAAGAAAACAAGGAAAGTTTTTGTAAAGGTTTTAGGGTTATTATTGGATTCTCTTATAAATTATAAATTTAAAATAATGAAAGCAGAAAAAAATGTCAAAATTAATTCGGGTTACTATCAGAAATATATTTTAACACTTATTTTTAAAGAAATTCCATCTCTGCCAAGAAGGCAGGAGAAATACCTTATACGGTATATTATTTACCCTCGGCCGCCGACAAGTCACTAGTATCTACACTTCTCAAAATTACTGGAAGGAATAAATAGATACATACATAAATAGATACATATCACGGCCGTATACAATTACATTCATATATCGGAATTAACTGTTATTCATTTACAATCCCAATTGGAGGTTCGAATCCCGCGAACGGGCTGGCTGCATGGGCGCTTTCGTGGTTTTCCCCATGTGTAACGTGTATACGAGCCAGTTTCCCTTAGAAAGTCCTCCACGAAAGGCATCCCTCCCCTTAGGCAGATAGCCCTAGTGTGCTTTGCCATAATTAAATACACCACACCAATCCCAATTGCTGTTATACAGGGATCGAACCCAAATGTCGCTAAATGATCGCTGGATTTGGCGACTCTTTGCGTTTCAGGTTACATTACACAAAATTCGTAACAATTTGTCCAGTTGAATTAATAAAAGGCAAGGAATATGTATAATAAAATGAGCAAGCATCAACATTTGATGCAGTTTTAGTTTAGGTAATCCAAAACGTAAACTGTAAGGCTAAATCACATATTCTAAGCTTATATCATTTTTTCTGATTTTACTAATGATCTTAACATTAAAATAAAAATGCAGCACAAAAAAAAAAAAAAAAAAAAAAAAAAACAAGATTGATAAAATAGATTGAACATCTATATGGGATTTTTTTTCTTGGCAGGAGGATAAAATTTGTATATATTTTATAACAAAATTAAAAATATCGACTTTAGGTTTTGTTTGAAACTATGAATTATAAAAAGCGAATACTTTTCTTAATATTATATTTCTCTATATTGTTTACATATTTGTGATTATAAATTATTTTTTATAGGTTACCAAATGTCAAGACCAACTTGTTTGAACAAGGCTAATGAAAAAGAAGTGGACGACCGTTTGTGTGACGTCGCTGCGAGACCAGTTCCAGAAATAAAGGAATGCAATCCACACAAATGCCCACCAGTGTACGTATCAGTACTTTCTAATTTTTAATTTGGCTTTAACTTCGTAACTTTTGGCACAGTTTTCTAGAAACCTAAGCTGCACTTGCATCTGTAAAAATATATAAATGTCCTTTTAAATAGCAAAACGAAAACCCGACTGGTAAGAAAATAATGAGAATTGACATTTCACTCAACAAAAGGTCATTATTCAGATGTATTTTTTGTAAGTTTTAAATGTTTACTCGTTTAGGTAAATATTATTTTCCAATGTAGTTAAGCTCTTTTATTTTGTCGTAAGAAATCTCCGATTCCTGTGGTATTATTTTCTATTCTACAATCCTATTAATCTTTCTCCTCATATCTATAGAGGTTCGAATCCCGCGAACGGGCTGGCTGCATGGGCGTTTTCGTGGTTTTCCCCATGTGTAACGTGTATACGAGCCAGTTCCCCTTAGAAAGTCCTCCACGAACGCATCCCTCCCCTTAGGCAGATAGCCCTAGTGTACTTTGCCATAATTAAATACACCAACACCAACACCTCATATCTATAATCGTATTAATCTTTAATCTTATTATAGACCAGACGAAACTTGATATCTAATGTAACTGTCCAATTATGCGTAATTTATAACACTAACATTGATAATTAAAAATTTTTAGTATAATTTGATGTTGAATGTTAAGTATTGGTATAGCCGAAAACTCGCGGACGAAAACGTTGTCGTACAAAGCATCGTGGGAGAAAACATGGCAGTTCTAAAACATCGTAATAAAGTATTAAAAAACATCTTTGCAAGATATCGTCTTTCTATGAATAAACTGTGTTAATATCAGTATCAGCTAACATATTTACAGAAAATTATTAATTGAATTCGATGTACTCTGCAACTTTGTTATAAATTTATAAATAGCTTTTCTTTTATCTCTTTTTTTCTTTTACCTCTTTGGCCCACCAGCGGCCGAGCGGTAAAGTCGCTGAACACTGGTAGTTCGGTCCGAGGTTCGAATCCCGCCTTAGGCAGATAGCCCTCGAGGCTTTGCCATAATCGCACACGCACACTTTTATCTCTTATTTTATATAAATAATTTTAGAATGCTGTGACAAGATGGGGCAATAACACTGAATATATATTTCATGAAAACACAACGTAACGTAGAAAATCAAAATGTTTAACTTATTAACTAAAATACTTAAATACTGAAATTGAGTTGTTACGAAAGCTTTAATGATGTTTAATCAGGTATGAAAAAGAACTAAAGGGCTGCTTATCTAAGGGAAGAATTGCTTTCGCGGAAGAATTTGCTTGCATTTTTATTATATTTCGGGAAATTTAAGGTACGTAGGCAGGTAAGGTTATGCTCCATCAAAGCTGAAACCTTTCTTCGGCGCTTGAGCATGGACCTTATAAGAGACAGACTAACCCAGTGGGCGGGGCGCGCGTCACCGACATGTCGGCAAGAAAGAGTAGGGACGATCTGGTTTACTTTAACACTGAAACCTATGGCGTTTGTATCACATAACTCTTTTTATTTATTAAATGTGATACGTTGTATAATGTTGAGATTATGAAAGCCACAGTTTTTTCTTTCAAATAGGATTTAATATATCACATTAAAGCAATTTTTACTGCATTTCGCGCATTTTTTTCATGCATAATTCTTGTACAAACATCTATACTTTGGTAAAACGGTAAAAACTCTAAGCACAAAATTTATGAACTTAATTTTGCGTAAAAATAAAGTAAAATTAAATAAGATTGATAGTACGCGATGCTTTGAAATAAATAAGGTAAAATTAAACAAGATCTGATAATTTTTTTTAAATTTAATGAGCATTTTCAGGCGGTGAGTTTCCAAATTATAATAACATTACAAAACTATCATATTTATTTCATTATATGATCATGAAATTATTAACATTAAAGTGGATTAGTTATTTTAATAATTCATAAAATTCGGAGCATAAAATTTCCTGAGCGTAATGAAGGAAAAAAAAGATAAAATAAAATCTAGAAGCACTGAGGTTTTATATTACGCCCAAAAGGAACCTTTTTTAAAGTTTTGTGTGTTACCTATATTTATTGAATAACATGTTCTTCTCTCGTAAACCACATACATTTGAAAACAGCATATCTTTAAAATTTCCGCATTGGAGATAAAACTGTTATTTTCCGTACAGTGCTCGCTCTGAACTCGTTGAGTTTGTTAATCAAAAATTCGTTAAAGTTTTACAAAATATGAAATAGATTAAAACAAATTCGAAATTCGGCCGTCCAGATGCCCATGTTCGGGTGGAGGATTACATTATTCAAAATTTAATGGCTGTAGATACTGTCGTTTTTGTCACAGTGCGAGAAAGATACATGTATTCATGCAGATTCTTCATTATTTAATTTCTTTACATATAATACAGAGCGATAATATTTGGTAACAACAATTTGCAAGGAGACACGGACATTTATAGTAAAACGGGACAAAATGCCGCTTCGAAAATAACAGCCTTTCCAGGCTACCGCCCCTTTGGGCTAATAAATTAAATTAACAGTAAATAAATAAAAAAAAATCTTATGCAGAAAACTAAAAATAAATTAAAAACCTAATCACTATAAAATACAAGGAAAATTAATTATTACGGTTAAATACAATTTTAATATTAGAATTAAATGTATAAAATTTTTTAACGAATTTTTAAAGAAAAATTTCGTTAAAAATTCAAAAATATTTATCACTATGATGTATTATGAAATATAATTGAAATAAAATTCCTTTATAGAAACTGTGCTATAATACACATCTATAATTTTAAAAAAGCAGCACAATTTATAATTTTAAACATAACTTTCAAAAATTCGTTTTTAAATATTTTAGTATTTTTTACTTATTTACACCAATAAAAAGCATAAAAATTGCAAGAGAAAATTGCTTGTTTGAAATTTTTTATTAGTTCAGATTTAAAATATTAGTTTCTAAAAGAAGTACTTACAAATTTCCTTACAGCATAGGAAAAGCTAAAAAAATATCCAGTCCTGAAAGCATGCAATAGCTTTATAATTATTTGGAACGTTAATTATGCTTGATAAATATGCTAAATTTTTAATAATCTATCTCAATTTCAAAAATAAAAATATGTAGAAATTATAATTTGTGAAATGAGGCGCTACAAGCAGCTTTTTCTTGACAATTATACACGCTGCAGTAGGCAACCAATGTTAAATTTCTGCAAGTCGTCCCTACTCCTCCGGATGTGATCAAGGTGACAGCCGGCAACGCCTCAGACGAGGGAGAAAACCCGTATGGGTTAGTCTATTTCTTATAAGGTCTATGCGCTTGAGACAGTGACGTATCGGCGCTTGAGACAGTGACGTATCTTATGTATCTGCTCAGAGTAGCAAGTCAAGGACATCGACGTCACCACGCTGGTTAACGTAGGTCATAAATATTTATTTCTATGCAAACTATTTTAGTACTTATATGCGTATCTTTATGCTAAACTAGATTGCAAAGCTTCGTTTCACCTACCTTGAATGTTTCAACTGGTCAAAGAAAAATCGTAAAATTCCAGAAAATTGGCAAGTTATGCCAAAGAAGAAGTTAAATTAAAAAAAAACGTAAAACTAATTCAGATAAAAATGAAGCATCTTATTCAAGAAAATTCTAATAACCCTTCTTACAGGGTGTGAATACATATACAGAAATATTAAAAGTGAATTTTAATAGATGTAAAATCACTGAGCTCTGGTAATTCGATTCAGTTTTAAATATTGACGAAAGGGCTAGTTGCGTGGAAAATTTCTTGGCTGTCCTATGTGTACTCTGAATCCTCAAAAACGGCTCAAAAAGGCATGATCCTCTCTTAAACAGTTAGGCTTCTCGTGCCTTTCAGTAATACAGATAGTCTAATCTAAACTAATCTCAAAAGTGACTAATTTACGTAATGAACCTTGACGAAAACAAAGTATCATTTGAGCGGTTGTCTTAACGTAGTTTGCATTTGCTGAAATCGGTAAAACATATAAGTGGTAATCGTAACAATTAAAACTTTCACAAAGTAAACCTTAGAAATGTACTGCAAGTCTTAACCATAGTTTTTATGTGTTTTACAATGAAATATGTTCTTAAAATATATAAACAAACTTTAAAAAACTCGCTTTTTGGACACTTTTTTGTACTTATTACGAACACAGCCATTAGGAACACGCTACACTATGGAGGTCTTTTTTAGGAAAACTGGCTCATATCCACATTACACGTGAGGAAAAACACGGAAACGCCCATATGGCCAACCCGTTTGTTTCCCGAGATGCTATAATTCACAAGTGCACACAGGTATCGCCACTGAGGGAGGGGTTTCAAAAATGGACCAATGAGCTTTTATTGCACGTGTGACGCTGACACTTTAAAATTATGCATATGAGCGCATGTTGTTGTTTACGTTTTATTTTGTATTTGTTTCGAAGTTATAATTTAATGCTATTATTTTAGTAGAAAATCTCATACTATTTTCATTTTATAAGTTTATTTAATCCTCAAAATTTCACTTTCGCGAAACTTATCACTCACTGATATTAGGATTAATGTTCGTTGCATATTATCGCTCTTTTATATGGAGAAAATTGACTCAGGCTACAATTAGCCTACATGTTATGCATTTACTAACAACTGTGGAGAATTCAAGTGTATAACTTTTTTATTGAGCTCAGAATAACTGGAATGAACCCAGTATTTTCTTGTCTCAGTGCTTGCATTCCTTTGATTTTATGAAGTGTGAGATTCAAAATATGCATTGTGAGTGATCTGATTATACTTATTTGCGAATATTTGATTTAACTTCTATCTGGAAATTTTCACAAGAGATCCACGAAACTTTAATTATTTCGTACGAGAACTTGCGGGGGAAAACATTTTCAAACATCTTGCTTAAAGCCCGGGAAATGTCATCTGAAATGACAGAAATACTACTGAAAGCCCATTGGTCCATTCTAGAAGCCACTCCCTCGATAGCAATATGTGCACTTACAAAA